TAAGCAGCTAAACTCACTGTAAAAGTTCCCCAGCTGCCTTTGGGCATGCACACTGCTACCTCACTATAGGCATCCAGACACCTATCTCCTAGCTAACCAGATAGGAAGAGGAATGCCTATCTCCCCTGGGCTCTGATGCAGTAGGCAGCAATGGTGGTGTCCATCTTATAACTTTCAGCCCAGTACTAGTTAGAACACTCCTTGTGGATGTAGAAGACCCAGGTTCATTTCCCGCCTTGGCCAGATGAGAGAGGATTTGATCAGGGGTCTGCCACATCTCTCAGGAGGGTGCGCTAGCCACTGAGATGTTCTGTTACAGGGCTTCCCTCATTGTATAAATCATTATAGAATCATAGGAGCAGGGGAACTAGATTCTGAGTCTCCCAAGTGGCTGCCTTGACCACCAGGCAAGAGTCATATTCTCTCTCTCACTAAGGTTATGTCTACACTGCAGACCTTACAGTGGCACAGCTGTATTGCTGCAGCTGCGCTACTGTAAAGTCTCCCGTGTAGCCACTCTATGCCAGTGGGAGAGAGCTCTCTCCCCGGCACAATTAAACCACCCCATTGAGTGGCGGTAGCAATGTCAGCAGGAGAGTGTCTCCCGCCGACAGAGCGCTGTCCACGCCGGCGCTTTTATTGGTGAAACTTTTGTCAGTCAGGAGTGGTGTTTTTTTTTCACACCCCTGACCAACAAAAGTTTTACTGACAAAAGTGCCAGGGTAGACATAGCCTTAGTGCAGTGGTCCCCAACCTTTTTCATCTGGCGCCACGGAGGACCGTGGCGGCGGACGAGCATCCACCGAAATGCCGCCGACAAGCGGCAACGTCAATAGGCATCGCCACTAAAGAATCGGCGGCATTTCGGCGGCGACGCCTATTGACGTTGCCGCTTGTTGGCGGCATTTCGGCGGCATTTCGGCGGATGCTCGTCCGCCGGCCAGTACGCGGGCGCACTTAGACGCCCTGGCGGGAGCCATGGTGCCCACAGGCACTGCGTTGGGGACCCCTGCCTTAATGTATCACAGTCTAGCAGGATGTTACTGCAGAAGTGCTAGTGTGCTTATTCCATAATCCCCAACCACCTCCTAAAATATCCTGTGTCAGAGCCCCTAGTTGTCCCCTATGCAGCTCCTCCTGACAACTTCTACAAAGCAGCTGTGCTTTGGCAATACAAACACTTTTTGCATATTGAAAAATTAAGGACCAAGCAAAAAAATGAAATTAGTATCTAAACAATAGAAAGATGACAGCAGTGTGGTTTAGTTTTCATTTTCATATTAAGTTTTAAATGGACATTTTTGTTAATTTAATCTGGAGCTGCTGCAGAAATTCCAGTCTGCTGCCCAGTATGCCACAGAAACCAAGGGCACTACAGCAAAACTTGCATCTAGTTTCCTTTGAAATATATGAAGGCTTACATATATTAGTTTTTGCTTGTTTGAATGGAAAAGCTATCATTTGTGGATTTTCCATGCTGGCCATGACAATTATAGCAGTCCCCCACCCCATATTTAATACACTTTTATTTTTCTGATTGAGCAACTGAGTCTCTTATGGGCAAGAAAATGTGGCGCTCACACTTTCACAAAAGATACTCATAACTAGAACTATCCACTGTGCTTACTCACAAGTTGCTGGCTCCAGGATTTAATGAAAATAACCTTGTAAGATTTAACAGTCCAGCCAAAAAATTTAACTTGTCCACCCCTTTACCATGATTAATAATGGAAAAAACTAATTGCTATTTGCCTGCCCTCAAAAATTGCATATGCCACTCAAGGCGAATTTTGCAATTACGAATTTGAAGATTTATCATCAGACTAACTGGTCTCCTGTTCCACACTTTTTATCCAGATTTCCAAGCTAAGCCAAAAGGACTTGGTGACCCAAAAACTGCTGAAACTCGAAGAGATTATAGGCCATCTGTGGCAGGAAGCCAATCGAATCTATCATGCAAAGGAGCATAGCGCTGCCCACAAGGATATACTGGAGAACCTCATAGCTGTCCTTGGATCCACCTTCTCTGGTAATGTGTGTCATGGATTAGAAGGGATGTGTTAAATGGACCACTTCCTTTCGGAAGAGATACCAGTCTTTTGAGTTACTTATTCAGTGGGAGGAGGTTATATCATTCAATAGCTCTCCCAGCAGATACTGCATATCATTCAAAGGATAGGAGAGTTGTAGATGCAAAGGATATAAAACTTGATTTCAGTCATTAAAAAATTCTCTGGGCTGCTAAGGCTACCTTGCTGGGCTTTAAAATGGCTGGAACTAAATCAGTAGAGAATTCCCCTTGCATAGGGGAAACTCTCATTCATCTCCTAGCTACACGATGCTAGCTGCTCTCCACAATCCTACCCATGCTGTGACAGGGGATGCCAGGGCACGTTCTGGCATGGACAGGGAATGATACTCTACATGGGCATAAAGTCTGTCCTGGGGCTTGTCCCAGTGGTGCAGGTAGGAGTAGGTTGCCTGCTAGTCTAACTTCCTTGTGGCCAAGGATTAAGGATCTGCAACGGCTGTCATTCAGAAGTGGTGTTCAGAGTTTCCATATGGAGACTTGGAGCTACAGACGTGGGCTGGAGACCCACAACTGTTTCCCTACCCACTGGTGCAAGAATACTGACTTCCTACTACAACTCACTAGTGCAGTGTTGGGTAGAACACATACAGAAGCACTTCTCAGTCAGGAGAGTAGAGTGTGCTGAGTAAAAAGGTTCTGGTGTCTGGAGGGGAAACTGCCAGTGTCGTTAGGAAGGGAGACAAAGAGCCATCCCTATAAATCTCTTCCTCATAGAAAAAAGTTGCTGATAGTGAGGCTTCTTCACTATCCCCCCGCTTTACAGAAGCTGGAACAGAACCCAGATCTGTCAAGAGTTTCCTCGCTCATATCTGAGTATTGCTGAGTAGGTGGGTTTGAGGACTGGGCCAAGGTTGACAGCATGGACAGGGAACAGTCAGAGGGATCAGGGCATCTAACAAGACCCAAATGATGTCCTAGAATGAAGAAGACAAACTCAAAGTCCCACAATTTTCATGGTGCTAACAAGGCAATAAAACGTGGATGCCTTTCCCTAACCCGATGACCTTTTTCCCTGCAATGATCGTATTAGGCTTGCCATTAGAGTCCTGACCACAAGATCAACAGAATCCAGAAACTTATCAGTCAGAGAAACCCATCACTCCCAATTTACAACATCTTTATGTGGGCGCTAGAGGGCAAACAAAGATGAGATTTAGGTAAATGGGGGTGTCCCTGTGCTCTGAATTATACTGGTACAATACCAGCATTACAGTACCTGAGAGAAGAATTTGGCCTGGTCTTTGTCATTTCAGTACTAAAATTATCATAAATCAACAGCATGTTCTAGGTGTTTACATTACTTTAATGCTTATGTTAAGCTGTTTCAATTCTACCTCTTATGTGAAATAGATTTGACTGCACTCACATTTGATAGACCCAAACATTACTTAACCAATTCACCCAACAATAGGAAATTTATAAACTGTGTAGTACTTTGGGCTCCACATTTGAACTAATGAGGAGGCTTATCTGGATTCAAAATGTTTAATCATTTAAAAAAAAAAAAAAAAAGGGCACAAAATAGTTAATCATCTCACAGAATTAATTTCTGTCATTTCCAAAATCCATCATTCTATTAGCACCAGCAAAAAGTTTGAGCTCCTCCCACTGGTGTTGCAGCAGCTATTGACTACATTATTTCCAGTACTACACAAACATCAGTGATGATGCTACCGTGTGAACAAATTCTCCACTCTTAGCAATGGTGTGGGGAGAAGGGGGGTGTTTCTTTACAAAATAGAAAAAGGAGAGATATCAGGAACAAGGGTGTTACTTTTCAAATTTCTAAGGTTTTACAGATAACGCAGAGTAAGACTAAAACAAAAAGTTGACAGTATCCTCTTACTGGCTAACATCTAAGGTTACAAGCTTGTGCACATTTAGTATAGTCTGCTACACACCATAGGAGAAATTCAGAGGTCCTTTGTAATGTCATAATGAATGCATAAGTCAATCAGTAGATGTAAATGAGACTAAATCAGTGCAATTAAGGTATAAAAATGTGTATATAATCCAATACCCTAACCTTCTTGCAGCTCCGAGAGACCCCACACACACTGGGCAGAAGCCAGAGGCAATGCGTCGGGGGGGAATGTGACCCCAGATTTTTACCAGGGTTTGCTGGACCCACTCAGTCACATGCTGCTGCCAGACCCCCTCCCCACATGGCAGCTGCTGGAACTGGCAAGCTAGGATCCTAGGGAGAGGCAGGGGCAAACAGCTGGGAGTTGCAGGGAGAGCTGCTGCTTTTGCCGCAGCTGCCTCTCCCCATGCAGCTTAAGCAGCATCCCCTCCCTACAGCTCCCAGCTGTTTGCCACTGCTTCTCCATGCGGAGCTAACACCTGGGAGCTGCACGGAGGGGTGTGACTCAAGCTGTTCGGGGGAGCGAACCTTTAAATTATGCCCCCCACTCAGCAAACACTAGTGGTCTCTGACAGAAGCCCTTAGCCCCACTACAGAAGCCCTGAGCTCTCCTCCATCCCCCCATCCCAGTCTGGTAGGCGGAGAATGGGACGAGGGGCTCCACAAGCGGTACTTTGTGAAAGAGCTGCATGTGGCTTGCAAGCCACGGTTTGGCCATCCCTGCTATAAAGTGCCAGGAATCATAGGCTGCTACATCTTATTTTATCACATAAAAGGTAAAGAACATATAAAACTAACTTCTAGAGGGTATTGCAGATGCACTAATATGGCTGGGAAAACAAAGTTTAATTCTATGCTATTGTAGACAGGCTATGTACCTACTTCTTGTGTACATATCCTTTAGAAAGCGTTTAATCTGTCTACCCAGGTCAAAGCTGTTCCACCAGGATGGATTCTCAGATCTGGACCCCCGATTCAAATTTACCAGTAAGTGTAAGGTAGCAAACAGAATTTTTCTAATCAATATATTTATTTTGATCATAATTTAACAAATTACATAGGCACCAGAGGTTTCTTGGTAATCAGCAGGCCTTTTTCAAACAAGAAGGTAGCTAAGGAGATCTTATCATCCAAGGTATCACATGGAAGGGTCTCCACACAGACATACTTTGGATATGAAGAAAGCAGAAATTCAATACCATCTGTAAACTCAGGATCTATCTCCAAGTACTTGGGCTCCTCCTTGTGGTACACTCTTGAGTTTTCTGTTGTGTAATACAGCAGCACACCATTTCCTTCATTACACAACCTAATAATGCCGTGACGGAGCAGCCGTACCTGAGTCCCTTTGTTTATCGGTATATCAGCATCACGAACATCTCCATCTTCCCACCTGGCTGGAAGACCATGTATACTCAGTGCCCTTTCATGTTCAGTTAGCATGGGAGGGAGGCAGTCGTGAAGAAACAACTTAGCTTTCTGATCCACTGCAGCATCAATTGGTGCATAGTCCACCAGTTTCTTTATCAAATTCTGTACTCTCTCTATAAAGGCACCTCGGCGAGAATCAACCACATCTGAGTTCAGGACCCCCATATATTCTAAGTAATCTATAGGGAGCCCTTGCCTGTACTCCACATCCTCCTCTATGGCCATCTGCAAGGCCGCTGGTAGGAGTTTCTCCAGAAGATCTCCCCAGGAGTTCCTCTGGTATGAAGAAAGAGTTATGTGAAGTGAGTGTGCATCAGGAAGACAGTCCCCCTGATGGATAAATCCACGGGGGAAATAAAGCAGGTCCCCAGCTTCGAGTATTGTCTCCAGAATGGGCTCTCCAATCTCCTCCTGAGCAAAGTTACAGCTCGAGAACTGGGGCAACACCTCTGTATCATCCCTAGGACCATAAACCCGCCAGTGCTTTTTCCCTTCAAGCTGGATCACAAAAGCTTCAATGTCATCGTAGTGTGGAGCAAAGCCCTGTGTGCCCGCGGGTGTCAGATATGTGTTTGCTCCAGCCATGCTCCCAAACTGCTCCTGTAGGATGGAGAGGAAGTGCCAAACGGTGGCAGAGAAGGCCTGCGGGTTCAGCATCCGCAGGGAACAGCCATTCCTGTAGAAATCCCATACAACAGCAGGCAGCGCCCTGCCAACAGGATTGTGGGTTTCCCTCGTCCCATCCACATAGCTTGTTACATCCAAGTTTACCCCAAACTGGACATCATTGTCCCGCAGGATTGCATCGAAGGTGGACGTGGAGAAGAGTCCCTGGTAGTATGCTGGGTTGTGTCTCCGAATGAGGAGGGGTTTATTTTCCCAGCTCTGCTCAAAGAACTGCTGTGGGGAGATGGGCGCAATCAGCCACTCAAACAGCTTGGCTGCCCGCTGCCTGCTGTGCTGGACCCGACCCAGCTCCTGGAGAAGGCCATGCAGAGAGGGGCCGGTGATGGGCTCCTGGGGCCCCGGGCAGCTGGCCCCCCTTCCTGCTCCCACCGGTGCCACCCCTGCCAGCTGCGGCCTGGGGATTTCCTGCAGCTCCGAAGTTTGGCTTTGCAGGGGGTCCAAGTACCCGTCTCTCTGCTTCCCCTTCCGGCTCCTTCCCAGCTTCCCTCCTGCTGCGCCCCGGCCGGGGTGGGGGGCTCCGGGCTGCTCCCCCTTCCCGGGCCCCGCTGGAGCGGGACAATCCCCGGACACGCCCCTCTTGCTCTGCTTGGGCCGCTTCTTTATGCGCCTGCTCCGCAGGGAGACCGAGAGCCCGGGGCCCGCCGCGGAGCGATAGACCCAGAGCGCGGAGACACGTGCGCCAGACTCCATGCTGCTGCCGCTCCCTTCGCCCTGCGCGCGCGTGCCAGAAACGTCACCTCCCCGTCCCCGGCCCGCGCCCGGGAGCCCGATCTCAGGCCCCGCCCCCAGAGACTGGCCCCGCCTCCGGGGTCCGATTGCCAGGTCCCCTGGACAAGCGGAATCCCGGGGTTTGTTTAAACGCTGCTTCAAACTGCGCAGCGTTGAGGGCTTGTTTTTCGCAGCTCCGCTTTGTGTGGGGCTTTGCCGTTTGTCCCGGCTGGGAGTGAGGCGGGGCTTCCCCCGGAAGTTTTGCTTGTTATGCGCCATGCAGGTTCCGGGGCGGCCGGATGTGTTTACTCAGCTTCATCAGTGATCGCCCCTGGACTGCCGGGGACATCCGTGCTGCACACCCCGCCTCCTCAGCCGCCTCGGAACCTGCATGGCGCATATGAAAAGCTCCGCAGTCTCCGGATGATTCTGTGTGTGTGGCTCTGAAATCTGAACTTCAAGCAGTCACACAAACAGGTGGTGTGGCTGGTCCTTGGTCAGCCTGTGACTGTAGGCACTGAGGGGTGCAGTCCCAACCCCTGTAAGGGAGGGGGAGATGGAGGAACCTGGCTGGTACCCAATAGTGTGATGCTGCAGCAGGGAAATCCCTGCTGTGCAGAAGTATGCCAATATTATTTTGTGACATTTTGCAATATAATTTGTCATTTTTGCACAACATTACTTGTGAATTGTGAACACTTTGTGAGTCCTTTTGTAATATTCCTGGCTGGAATTATGTCTTTATGCAGAGCCATGGAGTTTAAGGCAAGAAGGGATCACTAGCTCTGTGATGGGTTGGGTCACAGAAACCCCTTTGGGACTGCCAGCTGATGTGCTGGGATTACCTCTGAGCCCATTTTCCCTGCCAGTTTGGAACTTCAGTACCTTGCCTTGTTTGAGCCAGACACGCTTGCCTGCTGCAAACACAGATCCAAGTCTGAACCACGTCCCCCACAAGCTGCGGGCTTAACTGAAAACAGCTTAAGAAATGCTCCCATCTCCAGCACTCAGATACCCAGTTCCCAATGGGGTCCAAACCCCAAATAAATCCATTTTACCTTGTATAAAGCTTATACAGGGTAAACACATAAATTGTTCACCCTCTATAACACTGATAGAGAGATATGCACAGCTGTTTCCCCCTCACACACACCCCCCCGTATTAATACTTACTCTGGGTTAATAAGTAAAAAGTGATTTTATTAAATACAAAAAGTAGGATTTAAGTGGTTCCAAGTAATAACAGAACAAAGTAAATTACCAAGCAAAATAAAACAAAAACACACAAGTCTAAGCCTAATACAGCAGGAAGCTAAATGCAGGTAAATCTCACCCTCAGAGATGTTCCAATAACACTGGTCTACAATTTTTGAGAAGTCGTCTGCTTCAGAGATAAAATGTGCTATTTATTATGTATTTTGATGTGCTGAATTCAAATATGACAATTAAAACAACTGATTGGCTACTGTTTCTAAGATATTTAAGTTTTTACATTTTATGTCTATGTATATTGTGTAGATAGTAGAGTTTTAATCATAAATTGTAAACCTAGGTCTTGTCATGTGTTTATGGTTGCTTTACATGATAATATTTCACCTGTCCTGTTTATGTAACACTTTAAAAATCAGCAAAAGGGTTATATAAATAAAATTTATTATGAAACAAAAGGCAAAAAACTATTATGTACATAATTTAGTCCTATTCAGTGTCTACTCGGCGCTTCTTGGCTTGTCTCTTGTATTCATTAAATGGAGCATCTCTTGTCACTGTCCAGCAATAGTCTGCAAGCATTGATGGGCTCCATTTGCCCTGATAGCGTTTCTCCATTGTTGCAATGTCCTGGTGAAATCGCTCGCCGTGCTCGTTGCTCACTGCTCTGCAGTTCAGTGGAAAAAAATCTAGATGAGAGTGCAAAAAATGTATCTTTAGTGACATGTTGCAACCAAGGCTTTTGTATGCCTTGAGGAGGTTTTCCACCAACAACCTGTAGTTGTCTGCCTTGTTGTTTCCGAGAAAATTTATTGCCACTCACGAATCTGAGGACCAACAAAGACACCTTCCTTTATCTTAGCTTTACTTAACCTTGGAAATTTTCCATGGAGGTACTTGAAAGCTGCTTGTGTTTTGTCAATGGCCTTGACAAAGTTCTTCATCAGACCCAGCTTGAAGTGTAAGGGTGGTAACAAAATCTTCCTTGATTCAACAAGTGGTGGATGCTGAACACTTTTCCTCCCAGGCTCCAATGACTGTCGGAGTGGCCAATCTTTCTTGATGTAGTGGGAATCTCTTGCACGACTATCCCATTCGCAGAGAAAACAGCAGTACTTTGTGTATCCAGTCTGCAGACCAAGCAAGAGAGCAACAACCTTCAAATCGCCGCAAAGCTGCCACTGATGTTGGTCATAGTTTATGCACCTCAAAAGTTGTTTCATGTTGTCATAGGTTTCCTTCCTATGGACTGCATGACCAACTGGAATTGATGGCAAAACATTGCCATTATGCAGTAAAACAGCTTTAAGACTCGTCTTCGATGAATCAATGAACAGTCTCCACTCATCTGGATCGTGAACGATGTTGAGGGCTGCCATCACACCATCGATGTTGTTGCAGGCTACAAGATCACCTTCCATGAAGAAGGATGGGACAAGATCCTTTTGACGGTCACGGAACATGGAAACCCTAACATCACCTGCCAGGAGATTCCACTGCTGTAGTCTGGAGCCCAACATCTCTGCCTTACTCTTGGGTAGTTCCAAATCTCTGACAAGGTCATTCAGTTCACCTTGTGTTATGAGGTGTGGTTCAGAGGAGGAGGATGGGAGAAAATGTGGGTCCTGTGACATTGATGGTTCAGGACCAGAAGTTTCATCTTCTTACTCTTCCTCGTCTGACTCAAGTGAGAATGATTCTGGTGCATCAGGAACCGGCAGTCCTTCTCCGTGGGGTACTGGGCGTATAGCTGATGGAATGTTTGGATAATGCACAGTCCACTTTTTCTTCTTTGACACACCTTTCCCAACTGGAGGCACTATGCAGAAGTAACAATTGCTAGTATGATCTGTTGGCTCTCTCCAAATCATTGGCACTGCAAAAGGCATAGATTTCCTTTTCCTGTTCAACCACTGGTGAAGATTTGTTGCACAAGTGTTGCAGCATATGTGTGGGGCCCACCTCTTGTCCTGATCTCCAATTTTGCAGCCAAAATAAAGGTGATAGGCTTTCTTAACCATAGCGGTTATACTGCGCTTTTGTGATGCAAAAGTCACTTCACCACAAACATAGCAGAAGTTATCTGCACTGTTCACACAAGTACGAGGCATCTCTGCTCACTTTGTATGACGCAATACCAGCTTCAGATTGCATCATTCATTGTTTTGCCTAAAAAGCAAGTACTGTCCAAACCCAGTCATAGATTTATTCATAGATCCAGTCAAAGATGTATTTTAGTCATTTCTGGTTTAAATTGAGATCCCTTCCCTTTATAACTCACTTATCCTCCGCCATTCCCAAGTCAAGGGTCGTATATACTGACCCAATAGCATATCTTGAAAACTAGAGCCAATCAACAATTTTAAGCATCATTTTTGTTCTCAGTGACCCAGAATTAGTAAAGTTTGACTACATTTATTTCAGAAGCATTTTGGCTGTAGAGCAGTGCAAGCTTCTTTGACAGACTAGCCTCCTTCTAGTCTGGGTTCAGCAAACACTCAGACCCCTGTAAAAAGAACAGGAGTACTTGTGGCACCTTAGAGACTAACAAATTTATTAGAGCATAAGCTTTCCTGGGCTACAACCCACTTCTTCGGATGCATATTGAGTGAAACATATATTGAGGAGATATATATACACACATACAGAGAGCATGAACAGGTGGGAGTTGTCTTACCAACTCTGAGAGGCCAATTAAGTAAGAGAAAAAAAACTTTTGAAGTGATAATTAAGATAGCCAAGTACAGACAGTTTGATAAGAAGCAAGTGTGAGAATACTTACAAGGGGAGATAGATTCAATGTTTGTAATGGCTCAGCCATTCCCAATCCCTATTTAACCCTGAGTTGATTGTGTCTAGTTTGCATATCAATTCCAGCTCATGCAAACTAGACACAATCAACACAGCAAACACTTTAAATACAAGCATAGAGCCAATGCTCATAACTTCAGATATAAAAATGATACATGCATACAAATAGGATGAATACATGCAGAAGAACATAACCTTTGCAAAGATATGTTACATGGCATATCTAGCATAAAACAGTTATGTCATATTTACGCTCATAACAGGGCCGGCTCTGGCTTTTTTGCCGCCCCAAGCAAAAACAAAAAAAAAAATCGGGGCGGCCAGAACAGCAAAGCAAAAAAACCAAGAACCTGCGGCATGACCGGAGCCAGGGTGCAGGGGGACTCCCTGCGCTGCAGACGTGCCCCGGCTAGTGGGGGGGAGGCGGAGGGAGCGGGGGGAGAGAGAGAAGGGGGGCGGCCAGGGCTTCAGCGGGGCGCTCGCCACGCAGCCCCGACCGCTGCCTGCCGGGAGGGCTCCGTGCCGCTCCGGTCGGCGGGGAGGGAAGGACGCGGGCTGCCCTGCCGGGCTTGCTACAGACCTGGTACCGGTTGGGGCAGACGGAATGCGCAGCCCGCTCCCAGCAAGGCGCTCCCCTCCTCCTCCACGCCGCCGCCCCCTACAGGGCAGCCAGATCGGCGAACAAAAAAAAAAAAGCGTCCGTGCCGCCCTAAGATTGGGCGGAATGCTGCCCCGTAGAATCTGCCGCCCCAAGCACGAGCTTGCTCGGCTGGTGCCTGGAGCCGGCCCTGACTCATAAGCATATTTCTATAAAGCATTATGGGGTGCAACGTCACAAGCTCATCTAGTCTTACCTGTATATCACAGGCCAGCCAGTAACCAGAACCAGACCAAAGTATTAAAGTCCTCAGGAAACTAAATTATTGTCTGCCACAGGCAGAGAACAGGAGGGACCAAGATGCATCAATGCCTGAG